TGGTGCGGGAGATGGAGGTTAAGATATGTTGGGTTAAAAGATCGGCTAATTCCCTAGCTGACGGTTTAGCTAAACAAGGGGCAGAAAGGGATTCACTTTTTTGGGCCAAGCTGTAACTTTAGTGTGTTTTCTTTCTTTTCTCTTTCTTTTTTCCCTTTCTTGAGATTCTTTGTTGCTCTTGGAAGATAAGTGTGTTTGTCTTCCTTTTGTAAATCTTCTTTGATGAATTAATGAAAGTGTTATTGATCAAAAAAAAATATATGCAGGAAATGAGGTATGTGGAGGTAGAAGGAGATTGCAAAACCATAATCTGCTAGATGAGTTCTCATGATGACATCCCTTGGAAGTTTAAGCTGATGATGAGACAGGCACAATCTTTAGTTTCCAGTTTGAACAGTTCATTCGGTTTGGTTCCCAAATCCCAGGGAAATTAATGCCTTGGCTGATTCTCTTGCAAGAGTTGGGTAACAAGGGATCATTTATTCAGGGATGTCCAGGACGTGGTGATAATTTGTAACTTGTAACCCGTGTTGTATCTTGTATTGCCATTTCTTTTGTGAGTTGGGTTTTTTTTGAGCTATCTTTGTTATCATTTTGCCTTCTGTTCACCTTAGTGAGCAGTTCGGTGTTCAACTCAACATATTGATTGCTTGTTTCAGTATGTTAATAAACTTTACCGGAAGAAAGTATGATAAACTTGACTACAAATACTATAATTCTGGAGTGTAGAGCCAAATTGCTACACGTTCCTCTTACTTCCCAACATTAATTTAAAGGTTAGTATTTAGTTTCAAATATTATTGGTGGCCTAAATTCGTTTGATTGTTTGAAACAATTTTCAAAGAAATTTGGGTGAAATGCTAAATCACAAAAGATATCTTCAGAAAATAAAGAAAAAGGTACATGCTCCACATATTCCAGTTTTACACCATAGAAGACCATGGCAAATATTGGTCGCATAAATTTTTAAGAGAATCAAAGGAGTCTAAGTTGCAGCATAAAAAGGCATCAAACTAACCATATAAAATGCCAAGCATTAGGCCGCAAACAATGGCTGTCGTCACAACCCACATTAATGCGCTTTTTGCCCGTTTCCCTATGCTCCTGCACACGCACGATAGGCAGAAAATATCAGAACCAATATCAACCCAACGTCCCTTCAGAATCAAAACCAATCAATACGTCGACAAATCCAAAAACCCTAGAGAGACTGACTTGTCCTCGTCGCCTTCGTAGTAGAACATCGCGAAAGGGATTACGAAGAAGACAAGAACTGCGTCAACGATGTAGACAATGAGCCAGAGTTCTTTCATTGGCAAGGTGAGATTACAAGCGCCATTGTAGATCGCGTGTTGACAGGCCTGACGGTTTGCGACATCCGCAGGAAGCATCAAGATGGAGATGGCAGCAACCGAGAGGCCAAGAACAACTACGAACTTTGGAAAATACGCCTGGTTCACATCGTCAGGATGCTGATAGTTGACAAGAAGGTACAAATTGACGATGAACACCAGAACACAGACCACTGCTGCGACGATCACAAGAGCGAGGTTGAAATCCCCCATCGGCCGAGCTTCCCAACCGAATCAAAACGATTCCAACCGCTCGATCGACAAATGGGGATTCTTTTGGCTGTTTTTGTTACCCTTCAACAAAGGAGAAAGAGTATCCTCATCTGATCTGTTCCTTCTCTTTCTTTCCCTTTCTTCAAGATTTTGAAAAAAAAAAAAACAGAGAGAGAGAGAAAGGGATGACGGGCTTCTCCGATGGGGGCTCTGTAGGAGCGAACCGTGTGCGTTTGAGTTGGCGTGTGAAGATTGAATTACGATATTGTCCTTGCAATTCAGACATACATAGCACGAAAAATGAGTTACATTTTTGGGGTTTTTTTGTCATTTTAATTCACCCATATTATCAAATTCGGAGTTTCGGACAACCTGTAAAGTTGAGGCAATGCAATGCAATCTAACATTATACATTCACGAGTCACGACAAAAGAATGAATGAAGAGCCTCCAACGGCGCCACTTGTCAACCACTTCCTTGTGCTTGCCATGTGGACAGAGTTGACCTGCAACGTAGACAAGGTCGCCACGTGGACAGAGTTTCCCTCGTTTGGCATTTTAATTTCAAGTTTCCCTCGTTTTTCTTCGCTTCTTTTTTTTGTCCTGTTCAAATCTACTTATTGTGCCCTTCGACTGGTGTCTCTCTCACTCTCTGAGGTAAGATCCCTGAAGGCTGAGGACCCCTTCTTTCGCCAAATCTTTCTTACTATTATGTTTAGAACTGTAATTTGCTTGAGTTTCTTCTGCCTTGTTTGATTTGCATATCTAGACTACGTCTTATCCCTTCTATTTCATTTCTAATTTGTTCTGTGGGTTAAAAATGGTTAGTGGCTTAGCGCCTCTCCCATGTTTGTTGAAGTGCAATCACTAAGCAATTTGCCTCCCTTGAGTTTCTTGTTCTGCTGTTCAGCAATAATCCGAAAAAAGTTTTAATTTTTAGTTATTTGGAAAGGGGTTGTTTTCTGAAATTTGCCACATGGGTAGAATTGGGTACGAAAAAGCCCGATTTTAAGAAGCTTCAAATATAGTTTCCGGAGTTTTTCTCGATCTGGGCTTCCGAAAAATAGCCTTCTCAGCTACTTCATTCGAAACTCTTCTTATTCCTTCGCATACCTCAAGCCGCAGCCGCAAAGAGCCGGAGAGCTCCCGTTCTTCTTCGTGGATCTCACACAGATTACTTTGCTCTCAAACAGATTGACAAGGGGTATACGTGGAGGTTTGTCTCTAGTTCTGGTTTAGGTAAGTCCCCAAACTGCCGTGGTAGTTCGACTAGTCTATCATTCTAAGGATTTTTCTTGCTCTCCCCTCATTATAATTTAGGTGATCTGTTTTGTTTTTACTCTGTTTTACTTTAGTTTGTTCATATTATATAGGTTTCCCCAATTAGTTTGAGTAATATATTTGTTTATCAATAGTTTGAGTAATATATTCGTTCTCACTGTCGGAGAATTGACGTGACCATGAACCTCAAAAAGGAGGCACAAAGAGGGGAAGCAACCCCAGAAATTCTTTATTATCTAAAGTCAGGGAATTAAGCTATAATTTATCTTTTCTTTATAAAATTCTATCACCTAGGTGACTAGGTGCACCACTATTGTCTAGAATTGCCTAGGCACCTTGACAACTATGATAGAGCCCATAAATTATATTGTGTTCTAATGCAAGGGTCTTTATACTTAGCTTCTATATGCCACTTAGAAGACTATCCATTAACTTCTGGTCTCCTTTTTCCTAAGTGATTAGGGCAATGGATGTGGCACTAGTGCTTCTGACCAACGAGGCATTAGATGACATCTATTGAGCATCTTCACGAATCCTTTATCACTTCCTGATTTTAGAAGACATATAACCCCCCCCAAGGTCCTTAAGGCTGTGATCAAGTGACTTTTATGTACCTTAGTCTTAGATGGGATCAAAAGATAGTGAAACTACACATCCTCTTTAAATGATTTTTTTTTGCAGGTTTAAATTTTAGTGATATTTTTTCCATTTATTTTGCCTGAAATTTTAGATATAGTATTAAGAAAATGTAATGTAAATTGAAAATTGTAATAAAATTATAAGTAGGGCAGCCCAGTGAATGAGGTCCCTGCCAAGGCAGGGTCTGGGGAGGGACAGATGTGCACAGCCTTACCCCTGCACATACAGAAGGGTTGCTTCCAAGATTTGAACCCTGGTCACCCAGGTGGCAATGGAGCAACCCAACCCTTGCGCAAGGCCTACCCTCTATCACAATAATAAAACTTATCAAAAGAGTTCTGCCTTTTTATGGCATCATGTATTTTTACACTGTCCTACAGAAAAACTGTGGCATGTGATCCTAGGTGCTTTTGGGTGGATAGGCTGCTTTCCAGCTTCAATTGCTCCTTTTTCTGCTAAGCTCAAAGCTTGGAGACTTAAGAAAGAGAGGGAAAGCACTTTTGGGTCTAATACTTTAGGCCTTGTTTTGGGGTGTGTGTGTGTGTGTGTGTGTGCTCTGAAAAAAAAAAAAATGCCTGAGTATGTGAAAATATAGCAAGCACATGGGAAGTGGTGATGGAGAGAATCAAAGACATTTTTGTGTTAGTGGCTTGTTGCTCACAAAGACTTCAAACAACTATTATATATCAGATTCTTAGACAGGGATACTTAGCTCTTATGTTAATGTCAGGCTAACCATACTGTGTATGGTCCATGCACAGTGCCATGGTGTATATGGCAGTTTGATATGTAAATGTCTTTTATGGTAATGCAATACTTTGCTGTTGCAAAAAAAGAGTACTGCCTCTATTTCTGAATTTAAAAAAAAAAAAAAAACATTATGGTTCTAGAATTTGCAGTGAGCCAAATTTTCCCAGATTTAAAACCATTATCTTTTTTAATAATGGCATTCTTTAAGGGCAAATGGGATATAATTCTTCCTCCCTCCAATTCCATGGAGTGGAGTTCAAATTTCAAAATAACTAGACCTCCTAGGGATTTCAAATTATGTTTTGCTTTTGAAATGGACCTAATGGAGGATTCAGGAACTTGTAGAATCGGTTCCTTATTCCCCTATCTCAATTCCATTTCTTCCAGTTCAAAGACTGTCTAAATGATATACAATCCAATAACAAATACACTTCTTGATAGATGGCCTTTCCTTAGAGAGTAAAGATGTGCTCCAATTTCTGGAATGGACAGGGGGTTTAGTTCCATTTTTGCCTTGACTGGGTGAAACTAAAATATATATCCCTCTCCCCCACATTATTTCAAATTCCATGTCTCAGCAGAATTGAAGTCTAAAATCTACATTTTGCTGAGTTTTCTGGAGGCATTCTACTTGTTGAGGACAATATAAGAATAAAAACATAACAGCAGCTATAAAAAACTTATATGTAACAGGATAAAAATATAACTGTCCATAATAAATAAGAAATAGCATTTTCTCAACAATTCTCTTTGTTGTCAAGTGATGATATCCTAAGAAACTGGCATCTAGTGGAAAATTCTTCCTCTGTGAGAAGTTTTCTTAGGCTTTCTTGGTCCTCTCAGTGCCTAACAACATCAAATTGAATTTTGATGCTTTCTATTTAAGAATCCCTGTAAACTCCAACATTAGGGGAGCATTTAGGAACCATGAAGAAGATAGAATAGTGCTGTTTTTCAGCACCATGGGATGTTGGTGATTCCATTCAAACTGACTATTAGCAGTCTTACAAGGTATGAGATTGGCTAGATTTCTAGAGCTTGGAGAACTAGTGGCGGAAACTGATTCTCGTACTAGTGTGGGTTGGTTAAAAAAGAATAGTAGCATGGGATATTAGAAGTTAGAATTATAGACACATAATGACAGAGATTGAACAGCTGGCTGTAGGTTTGGGAACAACTTATAGTTGGGTTCCAAGATCTGCTAATAGCATGACAAGGAATCAACAGGGATCAATTGTATTGGGGTATGATTCCCCAAGGCAGGGGCTTGTAAATAGTATTCGTGAGTTGGGGTAGCAAGGGCTAGACCTTACGTTAGGACACTTGGAAAGTTGGGATAACATTTTTGTATACATCAGTCTTTTTATATAATTAATAAAGCATCCACTATTGCAGGTCAAGAAAATGAATCAAACTTCCAACCAAATTTACATATTTACTCCAAAAACATGCAAATTGAATTTTACACTCGAGTTTTTTTATCAATACCTGAATTTGTTTTCATGGTTGTGCAAGCTAGGGTACAAGAAGCATTTATGGTTGAAAAACAGATTTCAGAGTTCAAAGGAAGCCAATAGTTGCAGTTTTACTTCTAGAGGTGCTACAGAAACCAAAAGAAAAATTCAAGTGCAACTAGCTGCTTTTACTTAAAGATGGCACACTATTATGATATTGATGACATTATTATGGAGGGCGAGGTTGATGCTTGTATCTTCTCATCCTGATATTATTGCAAAAATGCAAAATTCTCAATTCTAACATCCACTTGTTCTTTGCATCTGGTCTCAGCTCATTTCGGTTTCTTTTCACGTAGCAGCTAATGGAGTTGGACTTGACCCTGGCTCAGAAACAAATTGTGTAAGTTCCAAGTCATTGAACTGGTAAGAAAGGGCACACTATCGATTTATTCTAATTTCTTATGTTTTTTGTATGATTCAGGTTGAACAAGGTTCAAAGGTAGAATTGCCTTTCTGGCTAGCCCATGAGTTGCACCAGAGACAAGCAGTATCAATTAATGTGCCCGCCTGTTTCAATCAAAAGTAAAGATCATGGTACCTCTTGTTGAAGGCTTTGCATAAGGCATAAAAGTTTACTTGTATCAGGGCCAGATGGTGGGATGCCTACCTTACTTACATTCAGCTAGCACATGGCACATCTCTAACAATAATTGGTGTTCACTTTTGGATGCATCCAACTTAAAAATCTCCTAAGCTGAATCTTGACCCATGTGTCATAGCCTCCTGACTTTTAGACTTTCCTTTAGGCTATTCACCATGCTTTCTGATCATTCAAAAGAAGGAAAGATTATTTGAAGTTACAATCCTGATTAAATGAATTTGTTCAGCATAGGTATCTCCTAGGTTGAAACTCTCAATTGCTTGGGTCATAAAGCCCCTATAGTTATGACCTACATGTATCTATGAGGATATTGACATTTTTCTTACAATGCTGATGCCATTTTCCAGGAAAAGAAAATGACTATTAAAAGGATGTGATACTCTCATATTTCTTGTTCTTATCTTCAATTTGATTTTTTGTTGACTGCCAGAACAAGGAAGGAAATCCAGGCAGATGCTGCATGTGTGGATCTAAGGAATAGATGCCTCTATTTCTATGAGTTAGGATGCAAGATTGCACCCATGTGAGTTTTTCTCCCACCTTGCCACTTATGTATGGAAAATATGCTTATCAAGGATTCCATACTCCTTTTCCTATTACCTTGCCACTTAATGTATGTAAAATATGCCTATCAAAGACTCCATATTCCTTTTTCTATTCTGAAAACTTCCATGTCATTTATTTATTATCTAGATGTCATTATCAATTTCTATCCAGTCTAAACCAAGGAGATATCTCATTGGATTAGTGTCTTAAAAGGCACACTGTAAGTCTGACTATGATCATAACCAATTGGTCCAATAGGCTTTTTGAAATATTTTTTTTTTCAGAATATATATATATACATATATATAATATTGATGAATAACTGAAAAAAAAATTATTAGATACTTATGGAAATGTGACATTACAAACAGCCCTTGGGTAGGGTAGCGACTACTACCCAACAACATCAAAAGGAGAGAATAAGAAACATCTTAAAAGAAAGCCCAAAACAAATGACTTCTAGTAACCCCTTGCTTAGCCAAAGTATCAGCCAGCCCATTTCCATATTATTGTATATTAGTTTTTTCTTTTCAAAAGTGGTGCTTCACTTATTTCAAGTGCATGCTTGCCTTGCACCTTGCTTCTCAAGCTCTAAGAATCACTTGCATTTTAGTTGCTGTAGCCTGTATAAAACACTGTTTTGCACCAAAGGCCAACCTTATCATAGACAGCCAGTCTCATTGAGCCATCTATGATATCCATCATTTCCATTGGCCAAAAATATGGTGAACAATATAGGTTTGGTCATAAACTGGGTCTTGTGTTCTTATAATTAACTGGAAGCTTTATTTAATTATAGAAAGGAGTGATAATAGAGGCCTACAAAAGTGATACAGAGCTTTATATATTTCTAACTCGTAATGGCAACCTCTTGGCTCTGTTTAAGTGCATATTTCCAACAAGAAGTGCTACATATGGTCATGTTTGACTACCTTGTCTTTTATCTCTCTTTTTTGAATGCCATTGAAAGAATGATATATATTCTTTATCCTGCAAAATCATCATAGATCTGTTGTCTTGTCAACTTGTTGGATATTGATGGTAACCATGTCGTATGATGTGTACTATCATAGATCTTTACTGATGATATGGTTCAAAGCAATATTATTAGGGTCTCTTTGGTTCCCAGGAATATGGGTCTAGAATCAGAATCGGAATCCAACTGTTTGGTTGTGTGGAATTGGAATCATATTCCCATTCTTGGTGGAATGGCATTCCCCCATTTGAGGGAATGGCCATTCCTACCCCCTCCCTAGGACAGAGAATCCATTCCAGTCAATTTTGATTCTAATTCCAACCATGAACCAACCAGACCCTTAGGTTTTTAGTCTGATATTTTTTAATGATGAAATCAGGTAGCACCACATGGCAAAAGTCTGCTAGGGCTGATTTATGCCAGTTGCAATTTATGACACAAATGGATTGTATTTCTCACTGAGCTCTTGTGTGATGTTTAGGGTTGGTGATAGAACTATTGGGTCCTTCCTCCTGTATACATTTACATGCAGATACAAGGAAGTTCTGAGCAAGGCACATAGTTCAGCATTTGTAGTGGCTCCCAAGTTTTTGACACTTCTTACAAAAGAAGAAACACAATGTAATATTTAATTTAGTGTTTGACAATTCTCTGTCTCTTGTTCTCAATGTGAAATTGCTTATCTATGGTGTTGTTCTTTTTGAAGTGTATGAAGCAGCTAGATCTTCAATGGCAGCATTTAGAAAATGGCGTCTTGGCGGGCCAAGATTTGAGAAAGCATCCATCCTTGGGAAGAAGAGGAAACCTAATGATTAGGTGGTAGCACTGACTATGCAAACCATCCTTGTTCCTTTGTGGCAACCATTGTATGGTTTTAATATTTTTCTCACACTTGTGGTAACCATTGTATGATAGCAGTTGTGGTTCTAATAAAGGATCATCAGTTCTTTGTTTTTGCATTTTTTCCCCTTCTCTGAGTTCTACTAATTGGCTATTGATTGTGGTACTATGGGTGGTCAAAGTGGGCAAAGCAGAATTGAACCTTATGTAGAATTATTATATTATTTCAATAATATTTTGTTTCATTGTGTAATCAGTGCAACAAGGAACGTTGTAAAGAAACAATTAGCTATTATCTAACCAAAGTGCAGAAAGAAAACATTTCCTTTTGATCATTTGGAATAAAAATAACATTTTTAGGTGAGAGTAACAAAGCCTAGAATTTTCATCCAAGATCGCGATTGTTCTGTCACTGTTGACTACTGACCATGGCCATGCCCTATGAGCGTGGTTCAAAGTATCAACAAGCTTGATACTCAAAAGTTGAGTACCGAGTGTGTTAGAACATGGATACACTTTATTCATTTTTTTAGTTTAATAATTCAACCACATTTGTATTAAGAGGGGTTCTAACGCTTAAAATCATTGAAACCCCTCAAATGCTTGTATTTAGCGTTTTGGTGACCCTGAAACAGATATGTATCAATACTTTGAAGTTTGAACAATGCCTATGAGGTTGATCAATTGTATATTGTGAATTGCTAAGATTGCCTAATCAAGAAATTTCTTTCCAGAGTGATCTTCCTGTAAGGTAGCTGTAACTTTTGCAGAAATGGTTTTATAAATTGCATGTACAGATTGAGGCTTTGTTTGGTTTACAGAAAACAAGAGGGAAAGAAAAAGTTGAAGGGAATGTTATTAATGAATTTCACAAAACTCTCTTATTTTCTATCGAACTAAAGACAGCCTAAGCTCCAAGGAAAATGAGTCAAATGTGCAGTGCAGTTGTCTTAGCCCAATACCAGGTCAATGGCATGCCTTGAGGGATTTTTAGGGTTTGGAGGAGGGATCAGAGTTGTGTAGCCAATTTGCCTACCAAAGAAAGAAAGGCATGCCACTTTCCCTCTGAATGAAATTAAAAAGCCTTTCAAGTCAGGGTAGAATTAGAGCTGTTTCCAATGCTGCATAAAATTCGTAGGCTGAAGATTATCACATGGCTAAAGGAAAAGGTCATAACTAAACTCTTTTTTAGTTTGAATATGTTGTGTAAGATGTTTGCTCCAATAAGAGTCCTTTTGGCTCAGTTTGGAAGAACCGAAGGAGTACAAATACAAATATATAGAGTGCAAAACATTGTATTTTATATTATTTTGTATGTATTTGACTATATATATTTGTATTTGTATTCCTCCCAAACTGAACCTTTGCTGCAAGATGATGGGGAAATTTTCAATTTGACTCAATAAGATAAGATGATTGACATTGAATTACATTGGCAATGATAATCTGATCAAATATCATTTTCATTCCACTGGCACATTACAGTGTATACTATACATATTAGTTATTGAACCCACCTAAATACTAAATACAGAGTTGTGGGGATTCTTTATGCTTAAACATTAAAATCATGGTTAAACCATTGAGAAATTGAGAGAGAGAGAGAGAAGGTTTATTTCAAATACTTTATTAGATTCAGAAATCAGGATGTTCAACAAATCACGAATACAGTCATTGCTTTTCATGATGATGACATCCATATCACATGCATAATAAAGATCAGGAAGCTCGTTCTGATCGATCTCTTCTTCTTCTCCTTCCACTTATATGCCAAGATTTCTTCGAAGCTCATACCATCCCCTCTTGCACAACCCAATGACCATACATCCATGCATGATGATAATCATCTTCAGCTCCTTGGCCATCTCCTTCATCGTGTCCTCCATGCCTGCTCGTCCTACCACAATCAGAGCGCGCGGTAATGGACGGCAACACCACCCGTCTATCTCTCTGTCTTTTATTCTCCTCCTTCCATCCTTTATCCACCCTATAATCTCTCCACTTCATTGACCCAATATTATTAATTCTGTCATGGCTGTTTTTTCAGTTGAGATGGAAGCTTTTTAATCGGTCGTTTCAAACAAACTTGAATCGTGATTGCATAGAATTCAATTATGATATAGAATCCACTACTAGTAAGTAGATTTTAATCCTTCAATATTTCTACGTTCGTGTGGATCCTGAAATTCTGTCACGGGATGACGGGAATTCCGTGGAAGTGAGGCGGAAGTGAGGTTGAATTCAAACCTCAAATGAAGTGGGTCATTTTGTCCTCTTCTCAAACCTCAAATGATCTCATGGTTGAGGGATGATTGAATGGCGCGACAGGTGGATTTGGGAAAAATAAAGAAAAAAAGAAGCTTAAACACATGTTTGTTGGAAGAGTCAAATTATGGTGTATTTATGAATATTTACAGTATGTTAAATCAAATTTTCAATCATGTTAACCTGTTATATATAAGGTGTACTTACCATCAGGACTTTAACAACTTATGATGTTAATCATGACATATAATTTTAGGAAAAATTCCCGATCAGTAACCTGTATTTTGGCTCAAGTGACAATATAGTCTCCGAATTTTAAAATGCGACAATTTGGTACTCGAACTTTCAAAATGTGATAATCCAGTACCTGAACTTTTAAAATGTGACAATCCAGTACCTGCCGCTAACCAATCTGTTAATCAGCCGTTAAGTAACATTTGAAAAGTCGAAAATGCCCTTTGAATGACATCTAATTCTCTTTATCAACCATCCAAACATTGACGATAAAATGAACAATCTCAAATCTTAGCCTCTTCTATTCAAAAAAGTTGGTGACTGTTTAGAATAATCTAGAATTTGGGATTCTTCATTTTATTGTCAACGTTTGGATGGTTGATAAAGAGAATTAGATGTCATTCTTAGGGAATTTTTGACTTTTCAAATGTCACTTAACGGATCGATTAATGGTAGGTACTGGATTGTCACATTTTGAAAGTTCGAATACTGAATTGTTGCATTTTAAAGTTCGGGAACCAAATTGTCACTCGAACCAAAATATAGGGTACTGATCAGAAATTTTCACATTTTATCATCGATTTATGTCTTTTGCTTTACAATGTAGTTCATGCACCATAGATTTTACCTTTTAGAATTTTGGAGTCAAAATATGCTCCACCCTTTTAGGTTGCACTTGCCCATGATTCAAAGTATGATAAATTAGAGTTATAGGTTCTCAATGGCCCTAAACAGTAATACATGCATTTGTGAAATAATCAAATTAGCCAAGAAAATATCCCAGGCAGGCAATTCTTTTATTATCATCATCGACACCCTCATACCCAACTGCTTGAGAGTTGAGACAGTCGAGTTCAGGATCAGGAGACGGATCCCAGCACTCTTTCAACCCCAAAGGAACAATCTTCATATATATGGAAAGCACAAATGCAGACTCAACATGATACTACTGTTTTCGAACAACTTAATTATCATACTAAAAACACCAGCTGCTCAATGCTAGAGATCTAACGTGGCTTAGATCTTTCAGAAGTGAAATTGTAAATCCGCCTTGGCGGGGCTGTACGAAGGGTTGTTCAATATTGATGGTCGCATCAACCAGAAGTTTGGCATTCTTAACAGAGTGTGGTGGCATGTGCCTCGCATGAGTTCTGAAGGATAACAGACAGGGAGCAGATATATTAACCACAAAAATTGGCCACCCATTATTGATGCCATTGCTTACAATTTAAACTCGGTTCATAGTTGAAGAAACCCGAGAGGAATATATGACATAGACGGAGGGTCAGTTCCTCTAAAACTAGACTCCTAAACTAGAGTGCCAATCTACAGTTCCGATGAAGAAAATGAAAAGGAAAGGGATAGATCTGAATAATCTACAGTGGAGGGTAAAATTGTTATTTGTGTCAATATAAGCATTTATGGGAAAAGTAACTTACCAAACATCCCCACCCCAACAAGTACTTAAAAACATAATAAGTGATTTGAAAAGTGGGTTACGAAACAGCCTTAAGTGGTTGTTAAAATAAGTACTTCTTAATTATCAAACAAGGCCTATATCAACCTACTGACTTTTTTTTTTATAATTAACCTGTTGACATGTTTTATACTAGAAATTTCAATATCAAGCATGTCAATACCTTGAACCCTGTCTGCACTTTTATGGATATTGATGTATATCAATATGGCCAATACTTTTTTTTTCTTTTTTTATTTTATAATGATCAAGGGGCTGGGGAAAAGGGCTGGGATAGTTTAAACATTTGAAAAAATAATGTGTATTAATATATGCAAACATACTTGGGTACACCAAGAATGATAAAACGCTCCCCCGGGTATATCATATCGATATTTTTTTTTTCATTTCATGGGGCTCCACAACAAGGTAGCCCATCCCCCAAACTCTGGTGGAAGTGGAATTAATATGATCCCAGGTCTCTACTATGAGTCAAAGATCCTACCAACTGAACCACCATCAATTGTTTGTGGATATATACAGATCTCCTATATTTTTCATGCACTTTCATTTGGTTTGTGACATGTATCCTATGTATAAACAAACGTGCATTTTCATATGTAATGGGTCCAGTATGGATCTCATACACTAACACCTTGTATTAAGGCATACACTAACCACTGAAAATTCATTAAAATTCATGAGTGGTTTTGAATCTTGTTTGGTCAAACTCTCAAGCATGTTATCTCTTATGTTTAAGTATTCACACATGTATAAAGAGGAACATGTCATAGACTGAATGGAAGTGTATAACAGGTGGAGCAAAAACTGTGCAACAGTTTTGCAAGGTGACAATTGGCTAGTCGTTAAGGTATCTTGTTGGTTGTAGCAGAGACTTTGGGATCAAGTCCCACCTGCACCAGGGTTGGGGGGTTATGGGTTTGGGGGATGGATCACCCCACTCCCCAACCCCCAATTGTGTAGTTCAGTCGTTAGTTCAAAGAAGACATTTTTTTGGGGCTTCATGAGGCTATAAAATGGAACATAGCATGTCCCCCGTTACCCCATAACCCCCTCCAACCCTGGTGGCAACGGGATTTGATCCTAAGGCTTAGCTTGAAAGGAGTACAAATACAAATATACAATACAAAACCCTATATTTTA